TTGTTTAAATTTTAGTAGAATTGATTGAGAATTTATGCAACTCTGCTAAAATTTAAGTAATCCACAAAATGGGTCAGAACTGATGTGGTAGTGATATGATACAGGGAGTTACTTATAAGCAATCCCTATTATTGTAGATGTTAAAAATTTGACCTGAGGTTGGGAGGGCTTTGCTTTGGAAAAAAAGAGCTCATCATCCACAAAAAAATAGGTTTAAGATCGTAGGCCTGTCTTGTGACCTTGATGAAAAACGAATTTTTCTATATAAATAATAAACGTAATGTTTTGATAAATATATTTTTTTAAAAATGATATTTTAGAAAATTTATTTTTTATTTTGAAATATTATAATAAAAAAGTCAGATAAAAGTTGATCTTGTACAATGTTAAAATATCTTATCCATACGTGAGGAAAATATCTTATCCTATAAGTTGTGGCCCAAAAGTGAGGAAGACTAGACTGCATGCTCACACTCACTTCATTTGTCATTATTAGACACACAAGCTAATCAATTGATGTCCACATATTACTTCGGTGCATGTTTTACACGATATCTTGGTCCTCTCCATTATTTTCTTTATATATATAAGTAAAAATATTTAAATTCTTTTAACTAAAATATAAATAAATTTTCATCAAAATAATTTTATTTAATGTTCTTAATTCAAAAATATTCTTAAAATAATAAATAAGAGCATTATTCACTATGTATGATTATGAATACTATAAAATAAAACTGTGTACAAAGCAATTAATATATTGTGAAATTTTATATTAGACATAAATATAATTCATATTTATAATTTATTGCAATGTCAAAATGATTGTTTTACTTCTAGTAAAAATTATTTTTTTAAACAAAGCACAATATCATACAAATATTCTATGCAATTAGATAAATGAATTGTAAAAACTGTCCACAAAAAAATTAAAATCATATTAATACAGATAATATTGTATTCTTCAATTAATTATTTTGAATATTAAACTATAAAAAAATATATGAAATATTAATTTTATGCGATTAAATATATCTTAACATATATTATATTTTATATTTATAATGAATACTTAAAAAAATTAAATAAATAAGACCTTCCAAAATTCTTCTTTGATTTGAACTTATCCAGTTCAAAATCTTGACCAAAATGATGTAATGTAATTCAAAAATTAAAATAAAAATTCATAACATATCATAAATTCAAAGACAGAAACATGGTTTAGAAACTGAAAACAAAAATTCATAGCATAACATATACTAAAAAAGTTCAAAGAAATTACTGAGAATGCACATGAAATAACATATACTGAAAAAGTTCAAAAATTCATCCTTGACTGTATAGTGTCAATTTGGTAGTAAGTGGTTTACTCCAGTTTGACTAACAATAAAATAAAATCTGCTACCATTGTTCTTAGTGATACACTGCATCATCCTTAATGATATACTGTATAGCCTAAATGTTTAACAATTGAAGTTATCAATCCTCATTGACAATATTACCAAATCTAGTGCTTGATATACAAAATTTACACACCGCCGTACTGAACCTCTAGGAGGGCGTATTGAGCTCCAATCCTCACACACCCTTATTCTAAGCTACTCTAAGACTTCTAGACCTACAAAGAATCATCCTAGGGTCTTCCAGGAGTCCTTCCGGCTGACTTTCCTTCGATCTTCGAGAGTCTTTGAGTCTTATTTCCGACCCGGACAATTTTAGGGGTCTACAATCCTATATATTATGAATACTGCTCCAGAAGTGCTTTGTCTGTCAACCAAATCCCGAGCATAGTTACTGTCACTATAGCTTGTGATTTCAGTCTTTCCTCCCTTTTATTCCTTTGTTCATGATGTTCAATAAATGGAGTTTGAAGTTGGGTGAGGGGTTATTATAATTGCATGAAACGATGCTCATCTCCCTCTAATGTCATTTCTATAAAAAGGTAAAGGGGGAATGTGTATTCTTCACTCACTTTCTCATTTTCTCTGAATCTTTCTTCTTCATGGGTCACCTTCCTATCACTGACCAACCCCACATGGTGTTAAAAACTCAGAACACAACTTGTGCACACACTGTTTGTGAATAGAGAATACTTTGATGTTTATTCAATTGAAAGAGCATGACTTTTATAAGCCTTTACATGCATAAGATAAAAATTGAATCTATGTACATGGCTACAAAGTAGGCCACGCACACCTACGCACACCTACGTACATGGCTACAAAAGGCTTTTAATAGTTACAAGTATTTTAATTAAATAATGAATATCTATGAAAATTATTTGTATTATATTTATTAGAGAAATATGTATTTTTTATGACATTTTGTTATAATAAGTATTTGAAGAAAAATATGTGTTTTTTCTGGTTTTCCTCCGTCTTGATGTGGCTCAAAGCAAAAGCCTTTACCTCCGACATCGTTTGACAGTTCTCTCTTTCGAGTGCAATGTCGAAAGCACCAGACCTTAGACCTTTCTGGAATGCGATAACTGCCATCTTCTTGTCCAATGATGCTATCCTCAAAGCGACCTCATTAAATCTTTGCAGGAAATCTTTCAGAGATTCCTCGCGTTGCTGTTTGAGGTCGAACAAAGCCGATGTGATCAGCGGCTTCTTTTTGTTAGCAGCGAATTGCGCCATGAAGAGCCGGCTGAAAACATCAAAATCGGTGATTGCCCGATCCGGGAGACCGCTAAACTAGTCGAGCGCCGCCTTCTTGAGAGTGCCCATGAACAACTTGCAACGGACTTCCATGCTCCCTCCACAGATTAACATTTGAACCCGAAGCCATAGTAGACGCGCAACAGATGGCGCAGATCGCACAACAAGCATGGTCAACGAAGCAGCATTGAGAAGGCTGATCGAACAAGTCGAGCAGATGAGGCAACAACACACCGCCGATCTGTAAAACATTCGTGCCAAGCACGAAACTGACCTAGCGGTGCTGCGTACCGCGAATGAGGCTGACCTAGCGGCGTCGCGCGCCGAGAACGAGCGTATCCGCGCCCAGCTTCCTCGGTGCCTTTCTGATCAGCCCCCTCAACCGATGAACACATTGACTTATACGTCACACAGGTAAACCTATACACTAATGAATATGTTATTCTGTGTAGGGTTTTTCAAACCTCGTTCAAGGGATCGGCACTCGCCTAGTATACCCAATTGCCAATGGGATAAGTCGATAGCTTCGACACTTTGGTGAGGTGATTCACGGCGCAATACGCAACGAGCCGACCTCATCACATCACATCCGCCGCCTTGGCCAGCCTTAGACAGGGCAACGACGAACCATTAAGGACATTCATGGAGCGCTTCACTGGCGTCTCCGTCAAAATTCGTAACTTAAACCCCGAGGTCGCACTGCACTCCATGCTCATGGCGTTAAAGCCAGGACCTTTCGTCTACAGCCTTTGCCGACAACCTCCTCCCGACGTGGACGAGCTCCGAGCTCGAGCTGTTGGGTACATCCAGATGGAGGAGCATGCCGAGTTCCGCAAGGCAATTCGCGACAAACCACAAGGAAAGCAAGACCAAGGTCAGGCCACGAACATTTAAAGTTGGGGACCTTGTTTAGCGATTACGGGGAGAAGCAAGAACAGACCCATCCAAAGGAAAATTTGGAACTTGGAATTCCACCCACCTCAAATTTTATTTCTCTTAACTTGTAAATTCAGGTGATGTACTCTTTTTCCTCCTCAGCCTTTTTTCCCACTAAAGAAAAGGGTTTTTGGCCAATGAAGGTTTTAACGAGGCACACCTCAGAAATAAATCAACAAAGCAACTCCATTCCCATACATTTTCGGTATTGGCACATTAACCATGACGACTTGCCAAGGTCAAGTTTGAACCTTGATGTTAAAGTCGGGTTCGAACCTTCAAATACAAATTAC